GATTGTGATTTTCATGGTGGAGTTCCATTTGTTTTATTGCCCAAACTGTAAGGTTCAGATTTCTCCATATAATGCTAAACAGCTTGCTGGCATTCTTCCATAAAGAAGGGTGTTGCAAATTTAGTGAATTTTGGAGTGGGAAAAAATTCATCAAATCTGTCCAGGTTTTATTTGAATAAGCTGAGCCCAGAAAGGTTGTGTTTAGCAGAGTGGTGAAGAGCTCTGGTAGTCACAGACTGTGGGTTAACCTGGACCTCCTTACTGAGTCCAGGGCCATGGGCAAACGTCCTAACCTCACAACATCTTGGCTTCTTCAACTATAAAATGGAGATAATAATCCCAACCCTTACAGGCTTATTGAGGGATTATATAAAATAAGTACTTAGCAGGGTGCTTTATACATGATAAAAATGGTCAATAGTTAGTAGTTATTGTTATTGTTATTTTATCACAGTGCCTGTAATTAGTAAGCATTCACTATTTAATAGGAATGTGGTTTTGATTAATTATTATTTTTACTGCCCAAGGTGGCAGAGGTTATTTATTCATGTATTGGAGCTAGAACCTAGATGGCCTAAATCCCTTCTTTCTTTTTCTAAAGGACTTACATTTAAATCCACAGAAAAGGATTCCCTTCCATAATCATAGGTTGAGTAGCAATAGTCAAGAATTTCACAGGAGAAAAGAGCCACCATTTCTATTGAATGGTGGTCTGTTTGTAACATTGTTATGCATCAAACCAAGAAGTAAGCATTTTTTTTACAGTGGGGAACAAACTCACTGAAGAATTGCAGAGCACAAATGAGGAAATATTGCAGTTTCCTGGGTTAAACCGATGTCTTTTTGATATAAATGTCGATCTTTTGTGGAGTAACACTTTAGCAACTAGATATAAATATAGGGAAGTAGTAAGCTGCTCCGGAAAACATTGCGAGAGTTTTTTGTGTGTGTTTGTTGTTGTTTTTGCTTTTTCTTTCGAGCAGTGCTTCCCAAACTGATATGCATAGGAATCACCGGGCATCATGTTACAATGCGGAGCCTGAGTCAGCAGGCTGAGGCAGGCCTGACGCTCTGCATTTCTAACAAGAGCCCGCTGGTGCTCCTGCTGCTGGCCAGAGGACCTCGCTCTGAGTAGCAAGGCTGTGTCTGGGCTAACCAGGTTAAATTCAGGAGTGATTATAACAAGGCAGGTGTTTTGGAGGCAGAACCCACCGAGGAACAGGCAAGAAGACCTCTGTGCCGAGGCTGAGCGGAAGTTTGATTTTATCTTAGCTGCACTACAGGCCCGGCCAGGGAGAATGTGCAGCTCAGGACTTGTCTGTCCCTGCCTCTCAAGCCACGTGCCACGATGGCCACATCTGACAAGGCTTCTTGCTTTTCCTAAGAAGCCATGGTTTTAGTTCTTTAGCCTCTAACATCAAGAAACTGGCATGGCTGCCCTCCCCTCCTCGACAGGAATCCTTTCAAATCACCGGAGGCACCAAAAGATGATTAAGGAGAGTAATTTGCTCTATACTTTTCACAATTTTAAAGGACTTAAGTATTTTGGAAACTCGTTGTACTATGCTTTGTAACTTTTTATGCATCTGAACTTATTTCAAAATGAAAAGTTAAAAAGTTTTTAAAATGTGAAAAACACTAAAATCCTGGGGTTTTCTACTTTTTTTCACATCTCTTGAAAATTTATAGATTTTACTTCTCCCCAATGAGAATATTTTCTTGATATTTGCACTAAAAATTCGCTGCTTTTCTTTCGTTTCAGTAAATACTATCCAAACTGCCCCTTCTAAGTTCTTGAGACAGTACCAGCCCTTGGTCAACCAGAATATCAAATCTACCTTCTTTAACAAAAGCAATCAGAAACACCCTTCCCTCACTGCTCTGGATACCATGTTTTTCCATCTGAACACTCAAAGACTGTATCACATCGCTTAACAATTACATTGTCTTTCATTTTTAACCTCTTTTCAGGTAAGATTTTGTCTCCTAAAATAAATTACATTAATTTAAAAAACGGAATTTACATATTGCTCCTTCTGCGTCCCTCACAGCACCCAATGCAAGGGTGGGCACAGAGTAGAAATTCAATCAGTATTTGTCACAAGAGGGATTGAGGGAGAGATTTACTCATCCACTCAACTGGACCTTCTAGCCTTTCTTCAGAGTCAGTATCTTTCTAACAATGAATAATTAATCCACAGATTCCCTTTTAGAAAATAGGCCTAATCCATAGTATTCTCCCAGATAAAGCAAATCATCAGTCTGAGCAGAAAAATCCAGCCTAAATTTGTGAAGTGTCTCAAAGCTACAGGGGTCCCCAGGAGACACAATTCCAGTCACAAGCTCTGGACTCATATTCCTTTGGTTCTAATCAGGTCCCACCACTAACTAAGTTGTTCACATCACCAAGCCTCAGAGTCCTCATCTGTCACATGCGGAGAGCAAGAGTGCTCGCCTCCAAGACTTCACTGTAGGTTAAATGGAGTAGTCCGTGCAACGCACCTCGCAAGGGCCCTGGAACACACCAAGTGATCAGTAAATGCCAGGGATTATTACCCTTCCTCAGGTGAAGTGGAGAAAACCAGGTGTTATATCCAGAGAATCATCTAGATTAAACGATTGAGTTCCCTAAAGCCACATATCCAGAAGAGCAGGGACAGTGGAGATGAAGAGGCAAAACATGAGTTGCCTTCATATCTGTTTCCCCAGGATTGAAGAAATTCACAAGATTTGCCTCAAATACCACTAAATTGCTGCATACCACATTTATTTAGCTCAAATACTAAATACTTTTTTATTTCCGTAAAGAAGAAAGAAAGATAGAGAGAAGAGGAGAGGAAGGAGGGAGGGGAGAAGAGGAGAGAGGAAGAAAGGATGCCCCAGCTTCTGCGATGTAACCATTCCTTCTGCTGTTTGGTGCAGAAATGGGAATTTTGAATGGGTAATTAGAATAGGAGAGTTGCTGTGGAAAACAGATTTGTTCACCAATAAATAAAATCAGGAGGTACAGCAGAAATCGAATTCTCAGTAAGACATTCGGCAGTACATCAAGGCTCTGTGCGCAAAGAGAGACATGTCAGTGCCAACTATTTGTTTCCATAGCATTTATTTCATTTGTTTGCCTTCTGCCTCACCTTCCCCTGGGCACCTGACCCACACACCCAATTTTACAATATTACTTCAGACTGTCCCTCAATCTTATTGACACTTCTATTCTTCAAAGCTCTACGCTATTTACTTCTATTCTCTCATCTTCGTGAAACAGGCGAGGCACAAATCATTACTCACATTTTAGAGATGAAGAAAATAAGACACAGTCATGTTAAATAAGTTGTTCCCAGTTACAAAGCCCATCTCTAATAGAACCCAAGTGCACATGCCTTTTCCCGACTCCAGCTACAGTGCTGGTTCCAGTTCTGCCCCTGCTCGCCTTTGAACTCCATTATAATCTGAGGCAGGCAACTGGCCCAGGGCCACACTCTCAACCAGTTCCCCAAGGCCACAGACAGGCAGATGTGGAAGAGCTACAGCCTTTGCCCTCCGCCAGGCTCTACCCTTGGACCTCCGGGCACCTCTACCAACTAGCACCTTGGCGTAAGGAGCCTGTAAGTCAGAGATGCCCTCTCTGTAATCAGACTCTGGGCTTCCCACATCCTCAGCAGCAGAACCAGGACGGAAGAGGCTTGTGTGGCTGCCTTCACTGTTTGTTTTTTCACTACTGAGTTGGCAAGGATGGAAGTTGTTGATTTACAATTAAAAGCAGCATGCTTCTTCAAATATTAATATTAATAACTACAATGTTGAACACATGAAAAGGTCTTTTCATCTTCAAAGCACTTTGCAGACATGAACTCATTAGCTCTCCCTTCCCTCCATTCAGGAACAACAGGTAAGGAAGACTCTCGACAGCAGTGGTGGCCACCCAGTCACCGTCTGTGAGGAGCCCATGCCTGCAGAGGCAAAGGGTTTTCTCTTTAGGTAAACAGGAGGCGATGTAATTCAGAACCATAGCCAATGAAACAGTCGAAGTGTCAATCATTTTACAAATCAAATGAGGCTGCCAGGCTTATCATTTTAGAATCTGTATTTCCTGTTGTTTAACAAATATCTCTCTTCTCAGTTGCCCAGTAATGGTATGAAGTAGGAAGAAAAATGGCCATGAGATGAAAAAAAACAACAACGATAACTTACCCAAAAGGTAATAAGGAAAACCTACATTCAAATGCCTGGATCTCGGTAACCCAGCATCTTTTTGAACAATTCGCCCACATGAAATGCTACTTTAAAAGAGGGTAACAGAGGCGTTTTAAGAGTAGATGAGAAGCCACCGACAAAGTGCAATTGCTGGGTAAAACCACGGGGGGAATGGCCACGCATAGCCCCGCTTTTCCACAGCCCGGCTGCTCGCGGTGGACGGAATAAATGGCCCCGACTCGGAGACTCCCCCGTCCCAATTGCAGTCTGGAGGGCAGGTAGAACCTTGGAGAACTGTGGGTCACAAGACAGAGAAAAACACCAAAAAGGCTAGTTTGGCTTGCAAAATTCAAACCTGTAGCAATGTCCTCTCTATAAATGAAATTCCTTAAGCTGCTAGGGAAAAAAAGAAAGAAAGAAGATGTAAAACAATAGGTTTGCTAGGGTGGACAGAGAAAAAAAGAAGGAAATTTCTGTGTTTAACTATAGCTTTATTCCTTTGGAACTGCTCCAACATGCGAACAAAATTCAGAGTTTCTGACAAGTATTCTGAAATATAGAATACTTCAGGGGAAAGAGTGAAATATAGTCTTGATTTCAGATGATTCGAACTAGGCTAGGAAGTATTTTTGAAAAACGTTATGAAACTATTGAATGGAAATATAGAAAAATGTGGAAAGAGAAAGAGAAAACCGCTTGTATCCTGAAGGTCCCCATCAATTTGCCGATTAATTCCACAAAATGAAAAGAAAGGGAAAAGGAAGATGGACTGCAAAGTTTTAGCCAGAAACTCACACCTCACTTACTACTTTGCCGGAGAGACTGGGTGAAGAATAGGTCCTGAGTGAGCTTCCCTCAAGGTCTGTGGTCTCTTTCCTACTACCTGCGGGAATCCTCTGCTCCGTGGCGAAGGGATGCAAAGACCATAATGTTTCTAATAGAGCTGCCTCCTTAAATTGGGGGGGGGTGTGGTCAAGCCCAGGAAAGCTGGAAAAAAGGCAGTGTTCCGCCGGCCCCTGACACCACGAAGGCAGCCACTAGGACAGGCTCTTCAGTCTACATGGAAAAGCAAGTAATGTTACTAGCTGAGGTAACACCAAATCACACCTTAATTTCTGTCATTCAAATTATCCTTCAATTAAATATAAGTCAGCCCTGGGAGTAACGGGGAGGGAGACAGCAGAAGGGAACCAGCTCAGTGGAATAACACTGAGTCTCCTCCTTTGTTGATGCATTAGATTTACTCTTGTGAATATGTGAATATTCATGATTCACATTTCTTGACTTTCTCAATGCAGCCTCTTTTAACCTAGGCAAGGGGTCAGGAGAGGGCGAGGACTGCCCTAGAAACAGGCAGGGAAGGCCATCAGAAAGCAGGATTCTACCACCCAGTCACCTGCCCAGGCTTCTTGTTTCTCTCTGTTAACCTGATGTGAAATGTAATATTTCCTAAGGAAAAGAAAGGAGTCATATGGAGGGGAGCTGACCAAATAAGGAGTTGGGATTTCTGAAAAGTAAAACTAAAATACACTTTTCATTTAAGTCTGATTGTAGGTGACCTCTAAAATAAATTAGTTTTGGGGCCCTGATTCATAGTCTATGGTGCAGTCATAAAAGGCAGAAATCTTCATACATTCCTCACTTAGAGAAAATGTAAACATGTAAAAATCTAGCATCTGTTCTAGGTGAAAACGTACAGCATCTTGTATTCACATATTCAGAACCATGGTACTGAAATGCTACAGTGTAAGGTCACCTCTACGAATAGGGTTATTTCACTACAGAAGTTTTTTTTAAAAAGTCAGTATTTGGCTTCTTAATTTAAGACTTTTATCCTGAAAGATTCTATTTTCTTTGAGGAATAGACGGGAGTTAAAATTTGCCATGGTTGACTCCTTTCCTTTTCTAATGAAAATACAAATACTCAACTTTGAAAGTCTATGAAAATCTAACAAACGTCACTCAGAGCAACATCATCATTATCCTTCATTGTATAAAGCTGGCAGTGCAGTTAAGATGGTGGTGTAATTAAAACAAGATTTTACTGCTCATCTTTTGCCTTTGCACAACAACACGGCTCAGAAGAAAGGAAGAGATAGTACTATTGGTTCAGTTTTGTTTAGTAACCGTCTGCGCCGGACACTGTGCTAGGCACTAAGGAAATAACCAGTTCACACTGTAGTGGGAAGACAGACACATAAGCAACCATCTCAACAAAGTGCAATGCATGCTGTGAGCAAAGTCTATGAGGAGAGCACAGAAGCTTCAGCCTGCCCGCTATGGCCTGGTCAGTTCCAGCATGCTGCCCCATTTAAAAAGCCCATGCTCAATTAAACCAATCACAACTAATTATAATTGTATTCATTATGTTTGCAAGAGAATTAAAAAAACAATGTAGAGAAGACATGGATGCTTGCCCTACACAGGTGTCCACTGTGAGGACTGACGTGCTCTGGAGTCGGGAGTTGTCTACGTAGAGTTCACGTGTCTACAGTTACAACCCATTAGCACCTTAGCTCCACCCTCTGCCACTACCTATGAGGGTGTTGAAGAAAGAAAGCCAGACATCTGAAGAGTGCAAAAGAAGCCACCACTGCTGGAAATTGTCCAGAGAATGCCCAAGAAAGCAGTAAATTTTGTTTTAAACAGTATCTTCAAAACTATAGCATGAGTATCCACATGCAAAAGGATGAAGTTGGGCCCTTATCTCACACCATAGACAAAATTAACTCAGAATGGATCAGCGACTGAAACTTAAGAGCTAAAACTATAAAATTCTTTGAAGAAAACAAAGGGGGAAACTCCATGACATTGGATTTAGCAATGATTTATTGGATTTGACACCAAAAGTACAGGCAACAAAAGAAATATAGATAAGCTGGACTTCATCAAGATTAAACACTTTTTTAGGGGCCAGCCTGGTGGCACAAGCAGTTAAGTGCGCATGCTCCGCTGAACGGCCCAGGGATCGCTGGTTTGGATCCCTGGCGCACACCGACGCACTGCTTGTCAAGCCATGCTGTGGCAGCATCCCATATAAAGTGGAGGAAGATGGGCATGGATGTTAGCCCAGGGTCAGTCTTCCTCAGCAAAAAAAGAGGAGGATTGGCAGATGTTAGCTCAGGGCCGATCTTCCTCACAAAAAAAAAAACTTTTTTACATCAAAGGTCACTATTAAGAAAGGGAAAAAGCAACCCACAGAATGGGAAAAAATATTTGCAAATCCCTGATAAGTGATTAATATTCAGGATGTATAAAGAACTCTTACAACTTAACAACAACAAAAAATCCAAATAACTCCATTAAAAAATGGGCAAAGGACTTGAGTAGACATTTCTCCAAAGATATATAAATGCCCAATAAGCACACAAAGAGATGGTCAACATCACTAACCATTAGGGAAATGGAAATCAAAGCCGCAATGAGATACCATTTCACACCAATTAGGATGGCTTTTATCCAAACCAAACCAAACGAAACAAAACGGAAAATAACAAATGTTGGTGAGGATGCAGAGAACAGAGAAATTGGAACCCTTCCACATTGCTGGTGAGAATGTAAAATGGTGTAGCCACTATGGAAAAACAGTATGGTGGTTCCTCATAAAATTAAACATAGAATTACCATAGGATCCAGAATTCTACTTCTAGATATACACCTAAAAGAACTGAAAGCAGAGACTCAAAGATATATTTGTACACCAACGTTCATAGCAGCATTATTCACAATAGCCAAAGTGTAGGAACAACCCAAATGTCCATCGATAGATGAATGGATAAACAAAATATGGTATATTCATACAATGGAGTATTATTCAGCCTTAAAAAGAAATGGAATTCTGATATATACTACAACATGGATGAACCTTGAGCATAGTATACTAAATGAAATAAACCAGACACAAAAGGACACATATTGTATGATTCCACTTATATGTGGTACCTAAAATAGTCAGATTTGTAGAAATGGAAAGTAGAATAGAGGTTACCAGGGTCTGAGGAGAGGGAGGAATGGGAAGTCAGTATTTAAGAGGGACAGAGTTTCTGTTTGGGATGATGAAAAAGTTCTGGAGATGGATGTCTTGATAGTTACTTAATGCCACTGAACTGTACACTTAAAATGGTTACAATGGTAAATTTTATGTTATCTATATTTTACAAAAGTAAAAAAAAAAAAAAAATACACTCTCCTGAAGAAAAATATGAATAACATTAGGGTTAAGTAGGCCATGCACAGAAAGAATGCTTTCTGATGCATGTGAATGGTACAGGACACGGGAAAATGATCCTCCCAAAGAAGAGGTGTCATCTCCTAGGGAGGAGCACAGGACCTCCCTCTGCTACACAGAGCCATTCGTTGTGTCATCTGTCACAGACTGGATAACAATACCAGCCAACTTCACGAGGTTGTTGGGATTACTGTGTAATTGGATGATTATGTAAACAGCAAACTGAAAAGGCAATTCTGGTTGTTCTTCTCCATGGTCTCCAATATTAAATTCTATAGAGAAGGACCTCAGTTGAGATGTCTATATATTTTAAGATCCTCAAGAAAAAAAACTAAAACACAGTGACCTAGGGGACATGTATACCTTTTGGCTCCCATGTGAAAGAGTTAGGTGAAAAGAGTTGTTTGCTTCTCTGAAGGAGTATCTCCATAGCCCAGCCCAGGATGATAGTTTCAATACAGTACAGGCACAGTTAGAATAGGGCCTATGTGAATTTCTAGAATAATTACCACCAAGCTCTTTGCTGTTCTTACTGTGAAGAAATCTTTTTCCTTTTCTTAGCATAACAAGCTACACTGCAAGTTAGTATCTCCTAAGAGGAAAAATAAGAAGGTGAATTCCCAGAAACTTAGCCTCACAGGGGTACTCAACCCTTCTACAATCACCCTTCCCTCACTCCCACCTCAACCCCCCAAAATGCAGGAGTCCCCTTCACAGCAATCTACAATGATTCTTTAAAACACTGTCAGCACAAAAAAGAGCTAAGTTTGAACTGAACAATGACATTAAATTTAATGAGAAACAAAGCAAAATAGCCATTTATTGCCATTTCACGTATTATCTCTTCTTTCCTTCCATCTCACTTAGAAAACACTTCTGATGCTTCAGAAGACTCGGTATACGCAGGGAAGCAGTTTCTAAACAAATTATCCAAAAAGTGAGTGGGGGTAAAATCCAGAAATGGTTACCAGTGCAGCCGTCACCAAATATCGAAGAGGCCCCAGGAGATAAGATGAAAGGAAAGTAAGGAGCAGAGGACCTTTGTCTATTCACGCTCCAGCTCTGGAACTTCTTATCCTGCACTTTGTAATGAATCTATCTCCTTTCCATGATCAAAAGCCAAGCCTTTGTCTTGAGCCACAGCCGGATCAGCAGTGGCACACGTACGTGTGTGTGGACATCTGGCACCCAGGTGCTGGCCCTTCTGTGTTCCAGAGAGCCTAGGAGAAGCTGGAGTTCTTGGCATAGTGCCCCGGACCCCATGGGGCATGACTCCATTATGGCTTGCACCCACTTTTTGTTGTTTCCTCCCTCTCTACAATGTAAAATCGGCAGGGGATAGGGCCCCACATGGACACCCTGCAAAGTAGCCTAGATAAGGCTTGTGAAAGATGCTTCCCCATCCTGGCTCTGGGCTGCTGAACATCCTGGAGGTTCCATACATTCAAACAGTTCCAACAGAGCTGGAGAGGCTGATGACAGGCCGCGTTACAGCCCACTCCAAGTGCCTCTGCTTTCATTCTGCTGCCTTCTCTGTATTCTTATCACTCTGCCCCCGTCCCCTCCTCCCTCAAAATATCTTTACTTTTTCTGTCAATCTAACTTCTACAAAGCTATTTTTAAATCTCAGTGTTTAATTACAAAATTAATATGTGGTTGTCGCATATT